TTATTAATGTGTGTGTGTATACCATAGAAAACAAAGCTTAAAAACATTGTCTTTGAGTATGTACTTTACATAGGCCTACTTCAAAAACGTGATTTCACAACCACCTCAGCCCCAGCCATGGCTGGGGCTGAGATGAGATAGTAATAGAAAATAGTACCTCTCGAGATGGCCGGAAATGACACTTTTATATAGTAAAATTCATCATCATCACATTATAGTCAAAATTAAACGCCAACAAATTTCTCATGAACTTTTATCAGGGATCTACTTAATATCCAGGACAACTTAGGCCTAATTATAACTTACTAAGCTTTAACTATATATACTATTATGATCAACAAATCACAACTTTTTTTTCGCACTTAGCACAATTTTCTTCACTTTTTATTGCTATTAATATTATTATCAATTATTACTATCGTCATCATCATCATTGTTATTATTACTATTAGTAGTAGTATTATTATTAAACAAACATGATCTTTTATCAGGGATTTTTGACAACCATAGATATCTTATTAATGTGTGTGTGTGATATACAATATAAAACAAAGCTTAAAAACATTGTCTTTGAGTATGTACTTTACATAGGCCTACTTCAAAAACGTGATTTCACAACCACCTCAGCCCCACCATGGCTGGGGCTGAGGTGAGAAAATTTGAGGAAATGGGGGGGGGAGCCGCGGCTCCCACGGCTCCCCCCTGGATACGGCCCTGAAAATAGCCACTTGTATGCAAAAGCACCAATTTTTATGAAAAAAAACAAAACTTCCTAACTCTGATAGTATTGTGCAGGATAGTTGAATTTGGTCTCATATTACTTATTAAAGAACCTACTGTATAGAGGGTCTATTTATATTAGCTGCAACGGAAAAGTGTCCATAAACATTACCAGGAACATATTTATTACCAAAAGCCCCGTTTTTAGGGCAAAACACATAATTTCTATAATTTTTATTTTTCTTAGGCCATAAAATGTTTTAATACTGGCGAATTAGCTTAAGGAACATTAATCAATCACAAAACAATACATTTAAAAAAAATTCTTATACGTACTTTATGTATAGAAATATACTTAATTTAATATTTTTTTAATCAGAAAATAATCTGTAACTCTGTTAGTATTTGTGCGAGAGAGTTGCTGTTGTTTTTTACATTATTCAGAAGGCTATGCATTTTCCTATTTTCTCAAATGTGAAATTTGCTCCAACAAAATTACCTGAAAGCCATTTTTGAATATTGAAACTATTTTTACAGGATTTTTGTACCCGGGTGCTATTGTCCATAAAAATGTTATTTAGATTTTTGTATTGAGAAGCTTTGATAAATGGAAAAATTTGTGCGTGTCATCCAAGCTCTATCTGTCTGGCATTTTGACAACTAAACATATTGATTTTGGTAGCTAGAAGATATTTAATCTAATTAATAAGTTTATAAAACAAATTATAGAATTCTGATTCTAACAATGTTACCCAGTTGTTCCTGGAATTAACGCTATACTAGTAAATATTGGTCATTGTCATATCTTTCAAGATAATGCTTTTAACCAAGTCACTTACAAGGCACTCAGTGGTCTTGCACCGAAATATATTTCTAATCTTCTTAAATCTAAATCCACAACACGACTCAGATCATTTAATAAGCAGCAACTTCAATAAACTAAATAGAAACTGAAAAATTTTGGAAAACGTTTTCATGTGCTGCCCCTATATTATGGAATGCCTTACCCTCTGACATCCGTTCATCCTCAAGTGTTTTTCCTTTTAACAAAAGGTTAATAGCTTAACTTTTCTCAATCTCCTACTAGGTGCTTGACACAGAAATGTAGTGTAAATAATTTTTTCTTTTTACAATTTCATAAGTTAAATTTATGTGCACTTTGAGTAATGCCAACGTCATTAGCGCCACTGAACATTACATCTGTCGTGGATATTTGCGCTTTACTAATTTCTATTGATTGATCGATTGATTGATTGATTGATTGATTGATTGTGATATTACATTGTTCGGAAGATATTATGTTTTTATCCTCTTCATTGATAATATTTTGGAAAATTATAAGAAGATGTTTTGTTTTCACTGTGGTAAATTTTAATAATGCCACAAAATTGCACAACTGACATACAGTATCTATAATAGGCATGTTGGTATATAGATAATTTCATAAAACGCTATACCATCGAAAATTAATATTTTGTCTATCGAATTCAGAGTATACTTTGAGGATTTGGCCAAATTTCTCAGTGACTCAATTTTGCCGAAACCCAATTTGCCGAATACTAAATTTCCAACTCAAAAGTTGTTAAACCCAGTTTGCCGAATCCCTGTTGACCAAAATCCAGTTTGCCGAACGTCAGTTACAGCCACAATAATTCAATATTTTAATTATATTATCTAAACAAATTTACTACACATTTAAAAGGTGCATAATAAAATAGCCTAATTAGGCTTAAAACTTACTATAAAACAGCTGTCGATAGGCCTACATATTTTTACTTCATACACTTAAGTATAGAAATATACGTTCATCAATGAAAAAAATGAGAGAGCCAACATTTATTTAAAAGCTTTTGAATAACAATCAAGCATTGTACAAACATTTATCACAGAACACTTTCGGGACCAAAAAGTGTCCCCATAATAGGGGTGTCCCCTGAATAGAGACCCCTATTCAGGGGACACCATATTAAGGGGACAATTTTTTTGGTCCCGAAGGTGTCGGTTCAGGTATAATTCAGGGGACACTAACCAAAATCGCGAAATTGTCCCCTTAATAGGTGTTTTTGGCATGTTTTCATACAACGATGACATACATTTTGTATAATTTTATTTTCGTTGACATAAGAATCAGCTAAGTAGAATTAGAACTAATTTATAGCAACAATTTGCAATGCAAATACAAATCATTTATAATAGGTAATTAAAACAACAATAATTTTATAAGTTGTAGATGCGGTTTGGTACAGCGGGAACAGTATGGTTTCCCAACCTCGAGGTCGGGGTTTCAG